ACTTTGCGTGAATTATCAGCAGAGCCTCGATTTTGACTCTAGGCATTTTTAATTTTTAGGGAAAATTGAATGATGGGAGAGAAATAGCTGTGAAGAAACTAGCACATGGCTCAACTCAGGGTAAGAAAGAGTTTCAGATTGAGGCGAAGTTGTTGACGCGAATGCAGCATAAAAATGTGGTGAATTTGTTGGGATACTGTGTTTATGATACAGAGAAGCTGCTTGTTTATGAGTATGTGGCAAACGAGAGCCTTGACAAGCTTCTATTTAGTAAGTTCAGCAATGTTTCTCCGTTTTATCTATTCAAGTATTTAGTTCTCGACAAAATCTATATAATTGTCGCAAGAAAAGAGCATTGCACCATTTCTAATTAGCAAAAAACTCAAATCTAGACGTGTGTGTCAAAGTTTTCTTGGAAATGGTTTTATTTTGAGCAACTTTGAGCTCAAAATTTCAATGGGATCCAAACTCCAAAATAAACCGGACCAAACATATTCATATTATACTCCTCGAGATAAATAACATTGTATATTTATTTGTCAAAAACCTTTAAATATTAAGCCCCCGTTTGGCACCCATTAATTTCTCATTCTCATTTCCATTCTCATTCTCATTCTTCATTTCAACCACATATTCTTCAAATAAAATAATATTACACACAAATCAAAAACTTTTCATCACTTTTTCACTACACATTCTCACATCAATCACTATTCTAAAATTTCTATTCTCCTCAAAATTAGATTCAAACACAAATTTTATTTTTAACATGATGTTATTGTCTAGTATTTTATTAACTTTGTAGCATAAAACACTGTGAGAAAGTCAACTCATCATTTTGCTAAGGTGGGACTATCAAATAGATTTTGATACCTAACTTTTAAATGGAGTTTTGGTTTATATTTTAAAAATTGCTTGCCATTAATATCAGATCTTATATTTGGATAAATTTATATGTACATAATTATTGTACATAATGGATTACATAGGCCCATATGGAAGAAATCCGACCGTGGATATGAAGTGTGGAAAAGTCAAAAATTGTAGACCATCGATGGATGCGTGTCACATGTCAATTATATAATGTATTATGTAAATGATTATGTACTTGTAGCATGGTCCCTTATATTTACTATGATGAATTGATGAGTTTTCATATCAAGTATACAATGTATCTACCCTTAAGTGTGTGTTGTGTCAGACTTTTAGAGTGAGCGATTGTTAGAGATCTTTGAGATTTGTGTCAAAGCAATATTGGTTATTCGGGACCGTTCCTCCTACTTATTAATTTGACACACTTATTTAACAAATAATCATGACCTTTAATTTAAATCAATCCAACGCTCAATATGTATTTCAATAAGATCATGTGAGAGTTTGTTATAACCACTTGATATCCATAAAATATTCAGCGTTTGATTGACTTAATTAAAGGTCACGATTATTTGTCAAATGAGTGTATCAAATTAATGAGTAAGGGGAACGATTCCGTTAGTTATCTCCTTTAGAGGTCTAAATTTGTAGGTATTACA